TGCCTTTGAAAGTTAAAGACCCTTAGGTAAAATCAATGCAGATATTTGTACATTAAATTTTCAAAGTTTAATATGTAAAGCACGTGCTCTGAAAATACAAACTTTAAAAAATCTTGCTGTAGACAATCCTAGCACCTAGCATAAGCCTGTTGCTTGAGTTTTTGCTGGAATTGATGGATCTGACTCAAACTTCAGTTTCTGAGGCCCAAGAAAATAGAGTCAGAATAAATTTTAATCCAGAAACAAAGAAGAATCTCCCAGATGTCTCTAGATGTAGGATAACTAGAAACTGATTGGGTTCAGAATGTGGCAAGGAATGACCCGCCAAGTCCACCTTGAATGTTACCAGACACACATGATGTGCCGCTGAACTCTGTGCAACTGAGAAAATTTCGTAATGGATGTGTCAGAAAAAATAAGCAGTGTTTCTCCTGATGAGGAAGGCTTCTTTCTTTTCCTTCCTAACTCTCCTGCTTTTTCCTTCCTCATCATCCTTTCTTCCCTTTTAATTTCCCCGTCTTCCTTTCTCTCTCTTAAAAAATATGCTGACAATGTAATGGACAGTCTACACACATAAGGAATTGGCTACATTTGTCCCAGTAAACTTGTTTCCACATGTCTGTGCTTTGCTTTTACCCTTTCAGTTGAACCATGGGGCATTCTGGTTGACACCAGCTCCTTGATGTTAGAAACAGAAGTGATGCTCTTTATAACTGAAGCAGAGAAAAGAAAAAGAGCACAGAAAACCCTGCTATTGGAGGGGCTAACTAGGTTTATCAACTAAAGTGTCTTTTTGACAGAATTTGCTAGATGACTGACTGGCCAGCTCCTGTTTTCACTCCAGTTCACTGGTAGTGGTGACAAAAATTTTATGATTTCAGGAGTAAACTTGCTTTTAACAATTTATTTGAAAGGATAAGCAAATAGCAAAGCTGTCGGCCACTTGTTCAATTCAAAGGCAAATTACTGTTTCTTATTTGTGTAGCAATTCCAAGACACATAGTCTGTTCTTTTCTCTCTCAATGACAACGCTGTAGTTTTCTTTTTACATTTTTTCCCAGTGTCCCCACCTTTATACTCAAATTTCCCTTCATCTTTTGTCGAACTACATTTTATTTGCACGTCTCTTTCACAAAACAATCCCTTATTTCTTCTTCACAACTTTGGTGCACCTGACTCAGATAAGCCCAGTAATTTAGCTGCTTTTGCTTAAAAATAAAGAATCAGGCTTCTTCATTCAACACTAACTTCTCTGAGGAGCAGAAAATCTTTCTGAAAGCACAGATGGGTTAGAAACAAAGATTTGATGTTAAAAATTGTAATTTGATGTTTCTGCAGATTTAGTTCTCTTTTTCTTCCTCTAATAGTTAATAGAATCATGCCACGGGACCAATGATAATCGTCCCCATACTTCACTTCAGATATGCAAAAGATTTGTCAGTATCTTGACTATAGGACTCCCTATTGGTAAAGTTTAAACTAATTAGTGTCCTTCCTTTAAGAATTGTATTGAGATGTCTTCTTTTTAAAAGAAAAATGTCTTAGACACATGCTAATTTGAACCTTTAAAACAGTTAAACTATTTAATTTTCATTATTGTTCAATTTTGTAGTTTTATACTTTATTCATATAAAATGGTACTAAATGATAAACCTCTTAAATAGAAATTGAACCATTTAGTATTCAATTTCAGTGTCTTCACTTAAACTTCTGAGAAAAAAAAAAAGCCAAAATGCTTATGCAAAATTAAAACATGTATTTTCTAAGTGTTTTACAGAACATTTTACCATTGATTTTTTTTATTCCTGTGGTTCTAATTTCTTTAATGTACCTCACAGTTAATTTCCCCCCATATTTAAGATATAACTCCACTGAAATGCATTTGCATTTTATTCTTAAATCCACATATACAAACTAAGATAGACTATATTGAGAAAAAAATGGTTATATGTGGCTATGTTAATTATTGTAGCAATGAGCATTTAGAAATGAGTAGAGATTTCATTTTCTGTTTAACTTGAAAATAAAAGCTTTAGTGCCCCTTTGCAATACTCAATTTAATGTTTATCAGACCCCTTGAACTCTGTGACCCTGCATGTACAAAACCCTGCCATACAATTTCCAAGTCCCAATTTATGACTTACCAAATTATGATACTTAATAAAAATACATGCATGTAGCTAGGTCCTATAAGCATTACTGAAATGCTTTTTGACTTAACATCTTAAAGATTATGTATAACTCAGTTAAATATTCCTTCTAACTCTCCAGTTGTGGTTAAAACAGCTTTAAAAAAGAATAAATTGTTTTCATTAGTAAATAGTTCAAGATTTTAATATAACTAGTCATTAAAGGAACAGTACTGGGGAGGGTAATAAAATGGTGTTTTGTTTTGCTATGGGGAGCCTTTAAATGTTTGTAACTTTCTTCTCCCTTAGAAAATGAGCAGGTAGTTTGATGGACAGAAACAAAAGAGGATCCTGTCTCTACAGTCTGGCACCTTCTGTAACTCTCATTAGCATTTAAGCATATTGGCTTTTTTTCCCCCTCCCCACAAATGTCCAATGAACTCTTTAATCTAAAGTAAAACGTTCATTCAGCTTTCTTTGCACAAAACAAAAGTCCTTATGTACCTAGAAAAATTTTAATTCATAAAACTAGCCAACGTAGCAGCAATAAGGCCTTTGAGGCAGGCTGACCACAGAGAATGGCAGAACTGTAATTTCCATCACAGTGCAGGGCCAATATTAAGCTGTTTTTTAAAACAAGCAACAGATTCAAAAAAATAAAATGTACTCTGTAACTCTAAAATATTGTTTAAAATGATACTTTCTAGTTCTTGAAATAATTTCTAGGTGACCAAAAAGTAAAACAAATTTATCAGCACCTGGTACTTTAATATTTGTAGTTTAGAGGCAAGATACATTATTAACAGGAAGATTTTTGAATCTTGTTATTTTCAGCTGCACACAACTGTTCTTTTAAAATGCCCTTTGAGGTCAGATAGAGCCTATTGGTTTTGACCCTGAAAAAATTTGTAAAGTTTAATGAAAGTTCCAATGCTGTGTTCAGTGATGGAAGCAAAAATTTCAAGTAGTATTTTTGTGCTTTCAGAAAATGTTCTTCTGTTTTTTTTTTAATAACAATTTATAATACATTCATTTTTATGGCTGTGTCCAAAGAAGTCTACATCATGTCTTTATGATCATACTTCTGTATATTTCAATGGCCTGTCAAAGACACACGTCCATTATGTTAAACAAATATTTAATCCTGTGCCTTTATCAAAGGGAATAAAATAAGAAAATTCAGTTGTTAGCATGAGAAAATATTATGGGTTGAATTTTTTGTGTGAGCTGGAAATGTGCACATTACTTGGGCCTAACACATGAATATTATTTAGGCAGAAGAGGAAATATCCTCTAAGTACTGACACATGGGCAAGAGCTTAATACCAAGCTATGGGGGGAAACAACCATTTTAACTTTCCTGACTTACATGCCCACAAGCTCACAACTACTTGCATTGTATTTACTATTCTCTTTTAAAACAGCTTTTAAAAAGTCAATGCTCAAACATGAATGCTTTCTTTTTTTGACACTAAATTAAGTATGGTCAGAGTTATCTACTCAAATTCTATTTGAGCATTAACACTCAAATGTTATACCAGGTCATAAAATATATACTATATACACATGTACTAAACAGCATGTGTGAGTGTTGTTAATATTAACATACACACACTTCTGCCCTGTAAAATATTCCCTGAGCAAGTCAAGTACCTTGAAAATTTTCCAACTGACATTTTACTGCTGATGAGAAAAACCAAAAGCCAAAGAATTTAGAAAGAAAGAGAAGAGTAGGAAGGAAAAGGAGCATAATTAATAGGTGTTTGTTTCATGAAGACCCTAGGGAGACAGTTTCCGCCTGATCAAGTATTGCCACGTGCTTCAAAGCTCAACCCAGGACTGCTCTTCACTGGGGCCAAAGCACCGCTAGTTACTGTGAAATGGGGCACTGTCCACATACCCGTGTCCTGATCAGCATTGACTTTATTCATTAATAAAAATCTTCCCTAAATAGGAACCTAAATTAGGATAAAGATAATATTTTACATTGAATCTGACGTTGTAAATAGTCGCTCCAGAAGATAAAACGTTTCTTGTTCCATGGTCCTTTCCTCCATCCTTCAAAGACTCAATTTCCACCCCCCAAATTCTTTCAATCAAAAACTGCTAAGGTGTTTTACTTCGCGAGTTTTTTTTTTATAAAAAAATTCTTCTCCTAAACCAACTTCGTAGACAGGGAAGTTAAACTTTATACAAGATGAAGTCTTTGAAGTTATGGCTATGCGCAAAAGCAATTCACTTCTAATAAAGATCTTGCCGTTCCTGACCGTGCTTTCCCTAAGACACCATCTAATATATATTTATGAAGACTGAGTGATTAAAGCCACAGACGTCGTGAGCGCAGGAGTACACAATTTTATACCGCAGATGGCTTCTGAAAGGTATTTATTCGCAGTAGTCTATAAAGATTTTAATAATCCTGTCAAATATGGTCATGAATAATTTATTAGTCTCCCAATTGTTGAGCTTGGCGCGCGCACCCACTCTTTGCAGGACTCCAAGTCCCGGTCCGCCTGACCCGCTTCCCGTCCACGAGGCAGGGCAGAGCCGAGGGTTGGGCAGGTCACCCCGCGGGGCCCGAGCACCCCCAGGCAACCCGCATGGGGGGAGGCGGGACCCGGTGGGCGGCCGCCCCAGGTGAGCCGGGCGGAGGGAGGCGCCGAGGCGCGTTCGCGGAGCGCCCGAGTGGCCTTGGCCAAGGCTGACGGGGACAGCAGGAAAGGCCGGCCACGCGGGCGGCCGGCTCGAAGCCCGCGGCTGGAAGGCCCGAGGCCCGGCTGACGTCCGAACCTCGCCGAACCGTCCCGAGCCGCCCCGAGCCTTGGCCGAGCTTCCCCGAGACGCCGCGGCGCAAGTGCGCGCGGCCGAGGCGCCGAGTGCGCGGCGGGTCACGTGGTGCGTGTGTCGAAGGTCACGGCGCGCGCACAATGGAGCTCTCCGAGTATGTGCAGCGCGGCTTGCAGACGCTGGCGGACCCCGGCGCCTTCCCCTCTGGCGCCTTCCCGCTGCTGCTCCGGGCGGCCTTCCGGAGTCTGCTGGACGCCCCGGCGGCCCAGGCCGCTCTAGGTAAGCGGCTCGGCGGGCCGCCGCGGCCTGGGTGGAGGGCGTGGGCACCGTGCGGGCGCGGCCGGGCGGCGGTGGGGCCGGGACGCCCAGCGCTCCGCCTGCGGCCCCGAACCGCGACCCGCCCCGCCGGCACCTGCCCGCGGCCTGCTCCCCACCCCCGGCCGCCTCCGCGCCCAGGCCTTTGTTCCTTTGTAAAGCCGCCTGCCCGCCCCGACTATGGCCTAAGCGGGAGGCCGGGCCTGCCGGAGGCTGGAGCTGTTTGACACTTGGACTTCGTCCTGGCGCGCCCTCCGTTTCCAGCTCCCGGTCCCGGGGCTCCCAGGCTGGGATGCAGGCGTTGCAGAAGGCCTGTTCCCCAGGCTTTGCTAAGTCCAGCAACGTGCAGCCTATAGCACGGCCGGGTTTCTGAGTCACTCCCACCCTCTGCAGAAAAGCAGGTTCTGTGCTCAGAACCCTCAAGTGGGTGCATCGTGTTTTGTCCGCAGCAGTTACCAGGAAGAGACTGGAAAAGCGGTCTGATTGCAGAATGCTCAAGCGAGTTTAAGACTAATCGCTTCTGGGTAATTTCCTTAAAATATAAATAGCCCAACAATTCAAATTCTTTTTGTTTGTTGCATAAGCTGGATAGTTGCACAAAAACTATGAAAGTGGAAGTTGTTCTTCAAGCAAAAACAGTAACCAACACCTGGGTTAATCTCAAAACGGGGGAGGGCTGTCAAAATTTGAAAATACTGATAGGATTTTGAAATTTCGGTCAGCTCTTTGAACTTCAGCTCTCCCTTCAACCTTCCTCGATGTATTAATGTCCACAGAGCCAATTATTCCAAAATGTCATCATGTTTAGAAAGTTGTTCCTCCTGAAATTTACACTGTGTAAAAGATTTACCTTCCATTTCTCCTTGGCATTTATTCCATCCAGTGTTGGAATGGCCGCTGTACAGCTTTTTCTTTGAGGCCATAGTGTTTTTAAAAATCTTAAGACACAGTAAAGGAAGGCGGTTGAAAACACTGACAGCAGATTATTGATGTATGCGTTTATTGTTTCGCAGTTGACCCTGTTCTTACTTAAAATTGACAGTCCTTATAATTGAATTTTTGCTATCCTTTAAAAAGGGGTTTTCCCCAAATCAAAATCTCCTTCTTCGGAACAGGGGTATAAAGAAGTTATAATTACTAGCAACTAATTTGTTGTAGATCACCCAGACTTGAAGCATATCGACCCAGTGGTTTTAAAACACTGTCATGCAGCAGTTGCAACATACATACTGGAGGCAGGAAAGCACGGCGTCGACGCGGCTGCTCTAAGGTACAGGATTTATTCAAACACCTATGTGCCTTTAAATAGTATCTTTGTGATTATAAATCAGTTTTAAAGGCGGAGACTAAACTTTTGGCTTCCACTGCCCCGACTTCAGCTCTCACCTAGAAGACTGTAAATTTGACCAGGAGAGAATAGAACTGTTTTGCACGGAATATCAGGTTACTTACTTCAAAAATTTAAATGAACAGTTACTCCTTTTTTCTGCTCTGTTTGCAAAAATGTGTTTTCTTTCCTCTTTTTTTCCCTCTCCAGAATAATAAGAATTCCCTGGAAATCCTACTGGGAAGGTAGGTACTGTATACGGTGTCAAACTGAGGCACTTTTCACTTGTAGGTATGAATGGGGAGTGCTGGTGGGAAACAAAACCAGCGAAGCCCCTGGGATCCTGCTCCAAAAGGGGGCCAAAGGGCAAGAGAAACAACTGAAGTTAAGCTAATGTTCTTAAAGACAAAACCTAAGATAATTTTAGGTGCTTTTACTTTTCCAAACTTGAAAATGAAGTTCAACAGTACCTTAAATTCAGAATGAATTGAGAAGGGGTGAGGAAAGAAAATACAGCGCTCTTTGTGAAGATAGACATTAAAAGTTTTTCTGTAGATATTAAAAAAATTATCATTGCATCTTTCAGTATAGGCAGATCTCTCCCTCATATAACTGATGTTTCTTGGCGCTTGGAATATCAGATAAAGGTAAAGTTTAACACTTTTCTACAGAGGGAATTAGGGAACTTTAAAAAAAAAAAATAAACACTGGTGTTTTGTGTTGTTTTAGACCAATCAACTTCATAAGATGTACAGACCTTCATATTTGTTAACCTTAAATGTAGAGGTATGTATAGATAATGTCTAAAAATGAAATGTGCAGTGAAATTTTTTAAATGTCCTTGATTTAAATAAACAGCATTTTCTTGGTTTTGTTTTCCTTAGAGCAATGATTCCCAGCCCTACTCAGAGATTAGTTTTAGTTGCAGCATGGAACAATTGCAGGTATGGTATTAGGATCTTTGTGCCTGTCTTTGTAGGCGTTTTAGAGTTGTGCTCAGGAAAGCTTTAAGAAATATCTACCTATCAGCAGATAATGAAGGTTGGTAGTGGATTTAAGTGGCAAAGGGAGCTTGAAAAGCAGTTTTCACATGGACTTCACTATGAAAGTAAAATGTGCTTCCAGTGACCTGTATTTGCTGTGCCCTCTAATAAAAATACACTTCTGAAAGGTAGTGTGTTTGAACCAATACGACTCAGTGAAAGTAAGAGCAAGGACTTTAAATGTCTTTTACAAATTAAACTTTCAAACTTGTTTTTAAGCAGCAGTTTTAAATGACTTTATTAAAGGGAAAGCACACATAAGTTCTTAAAATTGGCTTATATTGTTTGTCATTTTAAGAGCGGAGAAATTGAAAACTACATTGAATGATGGGAAGGGCAACAAATTTATCAGTTAAATGAAGATCATTCCTGGAAATTTAGATGATACTGAAATTTTCAAAGACATCTCCTGCAAAGTAATTTAAGTGTGAATCTTAGGGAAACTTGAAACTTTCAGAAAATGTGAATCATAACCTTCCTTACAGAACTTAAGACATGTAATTTAGATGTATTTTACACTTCAGTCTGTAGACAAGAAGCTGATTTGAAGACCAGATATTGTAGAGGAAACGATGGAGCGATGGTGGCTTTGCCAAAAGTTAACGTGGTAGTTAATAGTTTTTTTCTTGCAACGGCTCCAAGTTGTATGTTTCCTTGATGCTTGTACCCTAAAATTACGTGACGTGAGATGTGCGTCTTTTAGGACTTGGTGGGGAAACTTAAAGATGCATCGAAAAGCCTGGAAAGAGCCACCCAGTTGTGAGCAGGGCAGACGGAGGATGGAGGAGCCCGAGGGAAGTCAGGACCACCATGCCCCGCCGGACCCCATTCGCGGAGCTGAACGTCCCCTTGCGGGCGCACACGCGCCACCCCGGCCTGTTCCCGTGCATCGGCTCCCACACATTTTTTTATGCACGTGAAAGGGTTAAGCGGGAAAGTGCCCGCGCGGGTGGGTGTATATCGTCTTCCATTCGGTCTTCCCCACGCCTTTGCGAGCTGTCCCCGAATAAACACGGTGGTCCAAGAACGTGCGGTGTCGTGTGTGGAGTTTGCGTGCGACCCGGCCGCCCGGGAAGGTGTGCGCGGGCCCGTTACCTGCGCCCGCCGCGGAGCCTGTCCCGGCAGCTG